CCGCACCCACACCGCCACATTTAATCACACACGCACACACGCTGAGCCACACTCAAAGCTCCATGTACATTAAGCAGTAAGGGACAGCATCATCCAGAAACAGGGGCGGCCGCCCTTTTAACCCTTTTACGTGGCTGTAGGGAACGTTTCCAGGTTTTGATTGACTCATTTGCTCATGCAAGGCTGCCACACAGGCTGCATCCAATTGTGTCAGCCGAGGCTGAGATGTTTGCCGAAGATTCCAGAGGCGGTGGCAAAGTTTGCTTTTGCCTGAGACCACGGAAAAATGCCGTGCTAGGGTGGATGGTCAAGCTTGAAGCTGTCGCAATTTGACGATCTGAAGGTAGAGGACATGCTCAGTTCACGCGTACACAGACACACACGCACACACTTTGCGTGAGAAGACAATGGAATCGTGTCTAACAGTGACATGCGTTTGCAGGACTGGAGGCTTCTTTTCCAAGAAGGTGCAGCTCTGGCGAATGCATCAGCAGCAGCAATATCAGTGATGCCATGCATACCAGGAGGTCAGCATCGCCATCGTGTTCTCTACCTCCTGCATGCCACTGCAAGCCTTGCTTGTTGCAGAGTGATGTCCAACTGACCTTGAACTAATGCGGACCCAGCGTCGAAGGTAGTTGATGGCGTGTCCAAGCTCCAGGACGCGCTTGTGAGAAGTATGAACACGTTGGCTTCATGAAACAAAATATGTTAGTCGCAAAATGAGGTGGGGCAGTCCTTTGATTTCTGCTACTCAGGGCACTTGGGCACTTGGGTTACTAAGTTAACTGACTGGTACCAGTTGGATCACGGACTCAACTGAATCGTGCCGCTTGGGACACTTGGGTCACTTAATGCGGCAGCAATCGCACGAGCGACCCGAGTGACCCAAGCGGCACAAGCGGCGCAAGCACAGTTGAGCAAATCAGCCCACGCGACGGGGGCTGCAGCTGAGGGTGAACGCCTTCGTGTGCATTGCAACGTGCTTTTTGCGCTGAAAGTTCTTGCCATGCTGGTCGTCCTTTTGCTGGCGCGTGCTCGCTTGAGGGTCTGCCGCTTGGGACATTTGTGTCACTGACTGCCACTCGGGTCACGTGCTGCGACTAGGGTCACTCGTGCCACTCGTGCCACTCGTGCCACTCGTGCCACTCGTGCCACTCGTGCCACTCGTGCCACTCGTGCCACTCGTGCCGCTGGTACCACTTGACAGCAAATGGCCCAATCACAAGAACAACGCTTGCTTGAGCAACTGACCCCGGACAGGGGGGGGGAGGCACACTGAGCAGTCTGGCGGGCTGCGGCCCAGCTGGAATGAGCTGGGTAGGGCTGCAGGGCGAACTTGGCTGAGGTGGGCTTGGAGGCGCGCGCCGTGTCAAGGCTGGGACGAGCGCCCCAAGGAACGCAAAGGAGCAGGTTCAATGCAGGAGTTCGTGGTGGGCGAGTTGAAGTATATTTCCCAGCAGCGAGAAAGAAAGGCTGCAGGCGCCAGAAAACCAGCGCATAGCTTCGCCGCCGACCCAAAAATTGGGGCTCGGGGATGTGGGGTTTGGTTCCTATGATCCAACTGGCAAACCCAGTTTGTAGCCCGGTGTCCTGCAGTTTTCCGAATTTCCTCAAAGTATCGTGTTGCAGGAGCCTGGTTCTGCTGTTAGCCTCTTGGGTGACTACTTGGACCTCGTTCTTGTGCTCCCGTCGTGTTTTTTAGCCTGTGTTGCGTGCTGTACTGACACGGCAGAGATGGGTGTTTATGAGGTACCCATGGTTCTACAACGACCGTCGCTACGAGAAGAAGCGTTGCAGTGCCCCTGTGAGCATTGCAGCGCTGCTCTGCAGGTGCGGCCCGAAGGCAAAAGCTCGCTCGCTCTCGCTTTGTCTCTCTCTCTCTCTCTCTCTATCTCCCTCCCTCTTTCTTTTTCCCTCTCTTTCCTTTCGCTCTCTCACTCTTTCTCTCGTTGGCTTTTTGTGGCCTCATTGCGAGGCCATTCACCAGCTGCAAAGACCTTCGTTGGCAAGGCTGCAAGAGGCCTGAGAAATCCGGTTCAAGCACATACTTGTTGCATCTTCACTTCAATCTTGAACAATTCAGATCACAGAAACACATTTCCAGACAGGGGTTAGCAAGTTGCTCGCACCGTCACTTATCGCTAAAGTGAAGCAAGTCAGATTTCAGTTGCTCAAGTTCCTTCTCTTTGCAGGTTCACTTCATCCGATCCCGCAATTGATCAATCATAGTGTGACCTTTCACATTCGGTGAGCCCTCATGTGGTCGACATGCTGAGTTGGCGAACGCGAGGCTGTTCATGTATTCGGTTGCTTCAAAGTTCTTCGCCTTTTTTGCCTTCAGTTGATTCACCCATCTTTCCCAGCTTTTTCAATCGACCAAACCCGTTCTTTTTTGTGCACAACTTGTCAGACCTTGAAGGCTGGTGCGCTACCTTTTCTTGCGAATTGCTTGGAAGAGGCAGGTGTGTGGAGAGAGCCACTGCGACACCTAGGTTTGAAGGTACAGTGGCAATCCTTTGTCATGTGGATGTGGGATGTTGCAACTTCGGCTTGCCAAGATAGAGCATATTTTCAGGTCTCTGACGATATTCACAAAGCGGAGAAAAGTCAGCCAGACGCCAAGACTACCCCTGGCAAGACTGAAACTTTAGAGCCTCCGGCTCATTCCGCCGACTTCTGCTGCGGTGCCTGAATGCTGCGGTGCCTGAATGAGAGGTGACATGTCCTTTGATTTGGATCATTGAAATATGTTGGATTTTAATGACCGGTATAAGTTTGATTTGGTTTGGTATGTTTTGAGGACTCCGATGGTTGATATATGTTTGCTTTGGATCTGAGCTGGGGGTGGGGGTTGGGAGTGGGGAGTGGGGAGTGGAGTGGGGAGTGGAGTGGGGAGTGTGGAGTGTGTTGTGTGGTGTGTGGTGTGTGGTGTGTCGTGTGTCGTTTGTCGCGTGGTGTGTGGTGTGTGTGTGTGTGGTGTGCTTGTGTGTGGTGTGTGTGTGTGTGTGGTGTGTGGAGTGTGGAGTGTGGAGTGTGGAGTGTGGAGCGCGCTTGTGTTTGTGTGTGTGTGTGGGTGTGTGGAGTGTGGAGCGTGGGATGTGGAGTGGGGAGACCCAAAGCCCAGAAAACCCATACACAACCCGCGCGAAACTCACAGACTACACTCAGCCACCCTCCGCCAGCGCACCGCCCGCCTTCGTAGGCGCCCCCCCCGCCCCGCTGTGAAGATTAGGGGGAAGCCTCCAACCACGCCGCAGAAGTCGGCGAATTTCAGCTTGTGATTGCAACGGGTCTGCCAGCCCCCAGGAATGACATGTACCTGACAGCCGTACGAGCT